AAGAATGATTTCCTAAGAAAATGATGGAACTAAAAATTGTAATTTTCCCATAACAGCTAATATTTATTGAAACTTTCCATATATTATTCATACTACATGTATTTTATCTAATATTTATATTTTATTATTTCCCATTGTACAATTGAGGCTTAGAAAGGTTAAGTGTCTTTCCCAAAGTCATAAAGTGACACAGCCAAATATCAAACCACATTTTATTGCTTTACAGAAAAACTAAAACGATTTTTTTTTCTGTTGTAGCCAAACAGTGCCTGCAAAGAAACTCATGGATGTGGTAGCACAAGAGAGACTTGCCCACATTTGAAAGTAAGCACAACTATTTTATGTACTAATATGTTCTTGTTCATCACATTCCTACTTGTTTGCATGGTTATTGTTATTATGTCATCAGAAGTACTTAAACTACAACAAAAGAAACTGACTCCAAATAAGGAACAATTTGTGATTTTTACTGAAAATTTTTCTTTGACCTTAGTTCCATAGAGAAACCTGTGTGATAAACCAGGTATTGAAAATTCAGAAAAAAATGTAAATGTAAATTGAAGAAAGTGAAGAGTAGGGCATTAAAGATTTATTTGGTCCATTTCACAATTTTGTTCAGAGCTAGCTGTGATTGGTCTCTATATATGAAGTCTAAACCAAAACATCTGAATCTACCAAGAGTTGTTTTACATATGGGAAATTTTATATTTGAGTACTTATCTACTTACAATAGTCTGCTTCTTTTTAGTTGTGTGCTTTCTAAGACTTATACAATTTAATGCCCTGAGTTCTATTTTTTCCCAAACTAAAATATTTCTTTTATTTGGTAATTGTCATCCTGGAAAAAAGGGGACTTGTAGACCTGGCTTTTCTTAACTAGTGCTTCTCAGTCTTAGATGCAATATAATATAATTTGAAGAAGTTCAAGTACTATCAATGTTCAGATTTTACTGCAGACCAATTATAATTACAGAAAGCTTGGCATGGGATCTGGGGGTGATGTGTTATGAAGTTCCCAAGTGATTCTGATGTGCACCAGGTTGAGAACTTGAAGTCCATGTTTTCAGTCAGGTATAACATTGGAGCCTGTACTCAGTCTTTTATGAAAAACATGAACAGTAACAAAACCAAAATTGAGTTCTCAATATCTGTAATCACTAAGAGAACTATAGACTGTTGAAAGTTAAACTGAAAGCTTTGTGTGGGATGATCAAAATTTATGGAATGTATATGACAAAAAGATTTTCAGACAGAAATGTGAATGATTCTCAGAGAAATATAAATGGTACTCAGATAAGCTTTTGAATCTAAGGGCAAAATTACAATTCAGACATCACCTGGATAAAATTTAGCTTTTAATATCTTCATAATAATAAATCTGAGTTAATTTTAATCCTGGTTCTTAGAAAGTCAAACTTTCATTTAATGTTGCAATTTTGACCAAAGTCTACTTCCAAATAGAACAATTTCTTTTTATAAAGTTTGCAAATTTCCTAAGGCCTTTACTGTAGACACTTTTACTGTAACAACATGAGCAAAGAAAGCTGGGAAATTGAAGTGCAAACAAATACTGTATTTTTTACTAATTCTTCAGTTCACATTTTTTTTGACAAATGGAACACTGGCCACTGCATATTATTTATTTAGCTTTACTTAATTGAAAGGAGAATTCTTTGATTTTTCAAGTACTTGATTCTTTGATAAATAATAGATTGCATGTAGAAGTTGCTTTAGAGTCTTAGTTGAATGTTATTGGATCTTTTTCACATCATCATGATTTACTTGAACTGAATGTAAGTGTATGAGCTCTAGAAAACAAATCTAAATCATTGCAACATGCCAGTGGTATACCATAATGGTTTTTGGAAAGACACATAGCCTATAATTACTTTGATAATAAGGGTTCCAAGGAGTACCTGTGATTGACCCCCACAAGGCTAAGGGCCATCACAACTGCTCAGGGCATTTATTGTGCTATAATCAGTAAGAGGTCTCAACAGGACACCTTGAGACTACAAATTGAGTTAATTTGACATTCTTTTTTTTCAAGAGTGATTTCTAGTTTTGATGTCATTATGAAAACCTGTTACTGTTCCCACTGTGTTCCCCTCACATAAATTTTTACTTCTGTGATTTACTTTTACCTCATTCTTTTTCAAAGGAAGTTAGTTTGGTGTCATTTATTTTCTTATTGTTAAAGTGTTCTCTTTTTGCCCTTTCCCTTTGCCTTCTTTCCTTCCCTTCCTTCTTCCCTCCCTCCCTCCCTTCCTCCCTTCTTTTCTCTTATTTACTCCCCCTTCTTTATTTCATCTTTCCCTTTATAGTCACAATTGCTAACCATAATAAAAATACAACAGTGAAGAGATATCTATTTAAGGACATAGGTCCACAGTAATAACAGTTCCAATTCTTAGGGGTTGTTTTGAAGGGTATAAATTGAGCTATTAGTTCAGAGTATTTGAGCTTCTTTCTTTTTTCTAGTGCTTTCATCTAGTTCTGACTTTTAGATCTTTTTGCATCATTTTGCAAGGTTTTTTAAAGTTCTCCCTTTGTGGAAATGTATCACTTTGTTGAATCTCCTAGAATTTTTATTGATTTGCAATTCCTTCATCTTGGGACAAATCCTTTGTCATCTCAAATGATATATTTGGTGTTTTAGCATTCCTTTTATTGTTTGCTATATATGTTCTCTTTGACGTTTTGATTTTCCAGTCTTCAAGCAAAGTTTTTATCTTGAGTCCTCAATGCAGAGTTCTCAACATTTTATGTTTGAGTACTTTTTATTGAGGTTAAGTTTTTAAATAAAATTATTAATAATTGCATTGTCCCTCTCTTAATTGGTACTATTTGATGGCATTTCCAAAACACATGGCTGGCAGTTGTATTTTCTCTTTTTATGACTGTTGATCTATATTTGTCCCTTTCTTTAATAAAATAAACTGTATTATGACTCTTAAGCTGTTATTCAAGTCAAGTGTCTTCTCCGTATTTCACAGGTTTGTTTTAAGTCGCAAATGGCATAACATATGATAACATTGTTAACTGTAAAGCATTGTGCAGAATTAAAAAAGATTATCATTACTTGAAAAAAGATGTACATCTTAATCAATGTTAAACTTTGAAAAGTGTCAGTTTAGGGATTAAAGCATTTGATGGTAAATAAAGAAAATGGCTAAAAGAAAGAAAAAGTAATATCTGAAATATTAAAATATGGAGAATGGTAAATAATATAGTTTGAGACAGCATCTAAGAATGAAAAAAGAAATTGGAAGTTAGTAGTAGTCTGTGATGATAAAAGATCATCGCAAAAGATAATGAAGGAAGTTATTTGTGTTGTTTTAATGACTATTTCTTTTGTTGTTGGGGGTGGGTGTGCTGATTATTCTCATGGCTGTAGACTTTTGTATTTATCCACTCCAGTGCTGATGGGCATTTGCATGGTTTCCAGTTTGGGACTTTTTAAAAAAGTATATTTTATTGATTATGTTATTAGTTTTCCCAATTTTTCCTCTTTACCCACCCTCCACCCTACACCCCCCAATCCTCCAGCATTCCCTTGTTAGTGCATGTCTATGGGTTGTACATATAAGCTCTTTGACTTCTCTGTTTCCTATACCATTCTTAACCTTTACCCATCTATTTTATGACAATTTCTTAAATAGAAAGAGATCATGGAGAATATGGAAATGGTTGAAGCAGATATGAAAAGAGGATTTAATAGCAAATTTATGATACCACTAGACACACACGCCCATGAGAGTAGGTAAGCTTATTTAGAAATGAAAGTTTTTACCTGAACTCTAATTTTATCTTATTGAAGATTATCTTTGGCAAATATTTAGAATAAGCAAATACAGACATACCTTGGAGATATGTTGGGCTGGGTTTTAGAGTACTGCCACAAATCAAATATTGCAATAAAGCAAATCACACATTTTTTGGTTTCTCAGTACACAGAAAAATTATGTTTATGCTGTAGTTTATTAAGTGTGTAATAATATTATGTCTAAAAAATGAACATACCTGAAGTAAAAAATATTTTGCTTCTAAAAAACATTAACCATTATCTGAACCTTCAGTGAGCTGTAATCACTTTGCCGCAGTAGGGTCTTGCCTTGATGTTGATGGTTGCTGATGATCAGTGGTGGTTGCTGAAGGTTGGATGGCTGTGGCAATCTCTCACAATATGATAATAAAGTTTGCTGCACTGATAGACACTTCCTTTCAGGACACATTTTTCTGTAGCTTGTGATGCTCTTTCATAGCATTTTACCCACAGCAAAACTTATTTCAAAATTGAAGTCAATTGTCTCAAACCCTGCCACTGCTGTATCAACTAAATTTATGTAATATTCTAAATCTCTTGCTGTTGTTACCGTGATCTTCACAGCATCATCACCAGGTATGGATTCTATCATAAGAAACCACTTCTTTTGCTCATTCATAAGAAGAAATTTCTCATCCATAGAAGTTTTATCAGTTTTATTATTACATTGTAGCAATTCAGTCACATCTTCAGGCTCCACTTTTTTTTATGCTCTTGTATACTCTCTTTTTCTTTTCCATAAAGATTTTATTTATCTATTTTTAGAGAGAGGGGAAGGGAAGGAGAAAGAGGGAGAGAACATCAATGCGTAATTGCCTCCTGTGCACCCTCCACTGGGGACCTGGCTTCTGCCCTTGTGCACAACCCAGGCATGTGCCCTGACTGGGAATCAAACCGGCGACTCTTTGGTTCACAGCCCATGCTCAATCCATTGAGCTACACCAGCCAGGGCTGGGCTCCACTTTTAATTCTAGTTCTCTTGCTATTTCCACAACATCTGCAGTTACTTCCTCTGCTGAAGTATTGAGATGCTCAGTTATCTATGAGGCCTGGAATCAACTTCTTCCAAACTCCTGTTAACATTGAAATTTTGACCTCTTTCCATGAATCACAAATGTTCTTAATGTCATCTAGAATGGTGAATCCTTTTTAAAGATGTGGGTTTTTTTTTTAAATAAATATGGAATGCTTCATGAATTTGGGTGTCATTCTTGTGCAGGGGCCATGCTAATCTTCTCTGCATTGTTTCAATTTTAGTATATGTACTGCCAAAGTGAGCACTCCAGAGATTTTCAACTGACTTTGCCTATACCCATCAGAGGAATCATTATCTGTAGCAGCTATAGCTTTATAAAATTGATTTTTAAGTAATAAGACTCAAAAGTTGGAATTATTCCTTGAAACATAGGCCACCAAATGTTATCTTAGCAGATATGAAAAAAAGATTAATCTTATTGCTCATCTCCATCAGAGCTCTTGGGTGACCTTGAGCATTGTCAATGAACAGTAATGTTTTTAAAGAAATTTTTTATTCTGAGCAGTAGGTGGGCTTAAAATATTCAGTAAACCATGTTGTAAACAGATGTATTTTTATCAGGATTTGTTGGTCCATTTATAGAGCACAGGCAGAGTAGATTTAGCATGATTCTTAAGGGCCCTAGGATTTTCAGAATGGTAAAGGAACATAGACTTTAACTTAAAGTTACCAGCTGCATTAGTCCCTAACCATAGAGTCAGCCTGTCCTTTGAAGCTTTGAAGCCAAGCATTGGTATCTCCTTTCCAGCTACAAAAGTCCTAAAAAGCATCTTCTTCAAATGTAATACTGTTTTACGTACTTTGAAAATTTGTTTAGTATAACTACCTTCACTAATTGTCTTAGGTAGATATTCTGAAAAACCTTCTGCAGCTTCTATATTAGCACTTGCTGCTTCTCCTTTCACTTGTATGTTATAGAGATGGCTTCTGTCCTTAGACATTGTGAACCAAAAACTGCTATTTTCAAACCTTTCTTCTGCAGCTTCCACACCTGTTGTAGGCTTCATAGAATTGAACAGAGTTAAGGCCTTGCTCTAAATTAGCATTTAGTATAGGGGAAAGTTGTGGCTGGTTTGCTTTTTCATCCAGACCATTGCTGTTATAAAACTTCCTTTATATCAGCAATAAAACTGTTTTGTTGAACCTTAAATTTCTTCCCTCAGTTTTGTATTATTTTGGACTCTGTTAGGTGAGACACATTTATAATTGTTGTATTCTCTTGATACAATGGCCAGTTTATTATTATATAATGTCCTTCTATCTTTCATAAAAATTTTTGTCATAAAGTCTTTTGTATCTGATATTAACCATTCCAGACTTTTTGGCACTGTTTGCATAAATTGTCATTTTTTCTCTTTTTATTTCAACCTATTTGTGTTTTTGGATCTAAACTGAGTTTTTTGTGGATGACCTATTATTGTTCATCTGACCTATTGTTAGATCAATTTTTAAAACCATCTGTCAATCTTTGCTTTTTAATTGGAGATTTTAATCTATTTACACTTGAAGCTGTTACTAATAAGGAAGAACTTACTTCTACCATTTTGCTATTTGTTTTTCCTATGTCATATCATTTTGTTCCTCAGTTCCTGTAGTACTGCATTCTTTTGTGATTAATTGATTTTTTCTAGTACTCTATATTTACTCCCTTCTGATTTATTTATTATATATTTTAACATATTTTCTTAGTAGTTGCCCACTAACATTTTAATGCAGTTAACAATTTAATTTATAACACAATCTGTTTTGAATTAATGCCTCATTGACATTAGATTCAGGAGTATACACAATTTTTCTCTCATAAAGTTCTAAACTCTCTTTTTATAGTTATTATAACAAATTACCTCTTTGAACATTGTTTACTGGTCACTGTAGATTTGTAAATATTATTTAGGTAGTTGTATTTTAAATTATATAGGAAAAATGATAGGTTACAAACCAAAAACACAGTACTACTGATTTTACATTTACCTATATAGTTACCTTTATGATTTTCTTTATTTCCTAAAAAGGATTCTGGCGTTGTCAGCCTAAAAGACTTACATTAGCATTTCTCCTGAGGAAAGTTTACTAGTGGTGAACTTTTCCATTTTTTTTTGTTTTCTTGGGGCTATCTCTTCATTTTTGGAAGGATAGTTTTGCTAGATATAGAATTATGAACAGTTTTTTTTCCCTTTCATGACTTTGAATATGTCATCGCATAGCCTCCTATCTTCCATGGTTTCTGATTGGAAGTCAGCTGTTACTCTAATCAAAAGTCCCTTGTACATGATGAATCTGGTTGTTGTTTTTCTTGCTTCTTTTCAGATTCTTCCTTTGTGTTTGGCTTTGATGGTTTGATTATAGTTTGTCTTGGTATGGATCTTTTTAAGTTTCTCCTACTTGGACTCATTGACCTTATTAGGTGTATAGGTTTATATGGTTTGGGAAGTTTTCAGCAATTACTCTTCAAATGTATTTTCCCTTTTCTCTTCCACTGAAATTTCTATTATTCTTATGATGGTACACCTTATGAGGTCCCACCTGTCTCTTAGGTTCTGTTGATTTTTCTCATTCTTTTATCTTTGTGTTTCTCTGACTAACATCAATTGACCTAGTTCAAGTACACTGATTATTTTTTGCTTGCTCAAATTCAAGGTTGAACCTCTCTAGTGAAATTCTTATTTCAGTTATTGTACTTTTTAGCTCTAGGATCTGTATTTGATTCTATCTTATAATTTATATCTCTTGATATTCTCTATTTGCTGACACAACATTTACATGGTTTTCTTTAGTTCTTTGTACATGGTCTCTTCTAGCTCCTTGATTACACTTAAAATATTTCATTCTAAGTCTTTTTTAAGTCCAATATCTGGGATTCCTCAGGGATATGAGCCATATTTTTGTATGCATTATAATATTTTGCTAAAATTAAACATTTTGAGTATTATAATATTATAAAAATAGGGATTAGATTTTTACTCCTTTCTTGATCTTTTATGTTACTGGTTGTTGGAGTAGTCGCTGTTCATTTGTTTAGTAGTTTTTATGAACTAATTTTCTGAAGTCTATATTGTTTGTTTTATATGGCCACTTACATTTCTTTTCTGTTAGCTTGATAAACAGCTAATGATTTGACAGAATTTCTCTTTAAAAGAGAGGTTTAGTTCTTTTGTTCTTGTTTCATTACTCACCTGGTTGCTGTAATCTTTTGATTAGTTTACAGATTTCTCATAAGTTTGATTTTAACTGTTATTGCCAGTTTACTTCCCACTTGTGTGGAGGGGACAGTGTTTTGGAGTTCCCTGTTCCCTGAAGTCATTCGACATATGTTGTCATTCAGTCTTTACAGTAAGTTGCTTCTGTTTAAGATAATGCAAATGGAATTCCATCTTCCTGGTTTCTTCATCATGTTTCATCTGCAGGACCTGGATTCATAAGAAAGTTCCCAGGTGGGAACAATTGACTTCACTTAAAATTTAATGCTTGGCTTGTTCTCCTATTGTGACCCTTCCCATTGTACTCCAACTGTGTGAGCCAAGCCTCTGCTCACAAAGTTTGAGCAGTTTTGCCCTCAGCTCCTCCCATGACAACAGGTTCTTATACATTTTCTTGAAAATATGAAGTAATCATATTTGCATATTCACATTTTACATTTTTCTTAGAGTTCTATTTACTATTATATGTAAAAACATTAACCTGAGTAACTATATTTACATTATTATTTCATGAATACTTTTTAATGCTTTAATGAATCAGTTTTGAACCATTAATTTTGTTTTGGGAATCAAGAATTTAAATAAACCTAATAATAATAAGAAATATAAAAAATCAACTAATATGTCATGCAAATAATTAGAAAAGACATGTTTTCCAAGATTAAAAATAAATACCAGCACAGTCCTTGAAAGTGCATGCATGACATTTAATGATGAATGATTATTCAATACATTTGGCATTTTATGTAGGCATCATAGTCTTACATTTCAAATTGTTAAATATATGTTAACAAAACTGTTTCATTGTTTCTTTTCCTGGAACTCGCAGATTCCTGTATACTCTAGGTGATTCGATTACTAATGATCTATGCACAAAGCACCTTGAAGAATTTTGTGCTGAATCACATTTTAAAAATGCCTATGATGATATTAATGAAGGTAAACACCTGCTGCAGAGCTTTAGATATTTGCTGAGCCTGCTCCATCAGAGTGTGTGTATGTGTGTGTGTATGTTTTCTTTTATTCCAGTGGCATTAGAATAGTACTAATTTTAGGGCTGATGTTAGAACCAAGATGGAATAAAACTTCCTTGAAGATACTAGCAATTTCCACTAAATCATACTTTTAGAATCTTCAGGGTTTTTTTAAAAATTTTATTTATTTATTTTCAGAGAGGGAAGGGAGGGAGATAGAGAGAGAGAGATAAACATCAATGTGTGGTTGCTGGGGGTTATGGCCTGCAACCCAGGCATGTACCCTGGTTGGGAATCGAACCTGCGACACTTTGGTTCACAGCCCAAGCTCAATCCACTGAGCTACGCCAGCCAGGGCTTGAATCTTCAGGTTTTATATCACAAAGTTTCCCCCTCTCTAGTTTATCAGTCTTCTATTATGAAAGTTCATTAATTGAAATTCTATATTATATGTGCCATTGTTATAGACAAAAAAGTAGTTCCAGATGTTTTGCTGCTTCTTGCTCACCACTTAAATGTTGATGTTTTCCCACATTCTCTATTTGGCCCTGAGTTCTTCTAAGTCTTCTTGACCTCTCCTGACAATCTCACATTGATAGGGATTCAGTACAGCCAATGAATCCAAAGTTTGTTTCTCTCACCAACTGTATGGGAAAACATATTTGCCAATGATACCTCAGACAAGGGTTTAATCTCCAAAATATATAAAGAACTTACAAGACTGCACTCTAAGAAGACAAGGAATCCAATTAAAAACTGGGAAAAGGACTTGAACAGACACTTCTCCAAGGAGGACATACAGAAAATCCAAAGACACATGAAACGATGTTCAATATCACTAGCTATCAGAGAGATGCAGATTAAAACCACAATGAGATACCACTTCACACCAGACAGAATGGCCATCATAAACAAAGCAACAAACAACAAGTGTTGGAGAGGTTGTGGAGAAAAGGGATCCCTAGTGCACTGTTGGGGGGGGGACTGCAGACTGGTACAACCACTATGGAAAGCAGTATGGAACTTCCTCAGAAAACTAAAAATGGATCTGCCTTTTGACCCTGTGATTCCACT